GTATCAGAACCTTTGTGAGATTTCCTTATTCCAGCTGTACAGGACCAGAAAATCACATCTTTAATACACCTAGAGATCATTTACCTCTTAGGACAGGCTCATGCAAACCAAACTCACAGAAAACTCATATTTAAAACAAAATGATGGGGAGGAGGATCAAGATGGCGGACGAGAAACACCACCAGAAAGAGTGTCTCTGCAGAAAAGACAGATTCTAGCAGAAATTAGAAAAAAGAAGCAAGAAGGCAAGCATACAGCAGACGAGGGCCGGAAGGAGGGGTACCCGAGACACCGGGAGACTCCACGGGAGGAGGCTTCGGAGCAGAACTGGAAGCTGAGACCGCCGGAGCAGCCCGGAGACCAGCAGGAAGGGTAGGTGGATAAATCACCTTCCCCCTCCCCTGCATTTGGGACTGCTGGTGGGCTCCCCAGCGGGTAGAGAGACCTGCAGACACCAGCCCAGAGACAGCCGCCACCAGCTAGCGGTGAGCCTGTAGCAGACACGGCACCAGACTCCCAAATCCCTGTGCACCTCCGTGTGCACAGACCTGAGCCGCGCGGCAGGCGCCATATTGCTTCCTTCTCCCCTCCGACGACCCTACCTGCGGCTGCCCAGAGAGACAATATAGCCACCAGCCGGAGGCACCCTCAGGGAACGGGACCTTCCCTTTTGGGACCCTACAGCTGACTAAGGGGAATTCAGACTGTGAGCTCCCTACCTGCCAGCCCTCCCAGGTGCTGCTGGCACGGTGTTCCCAGGAGAACGGTGCTGACTCAGAGGCTGAGAGACACAGACACAGCTTGGGCTCCCTGTGGGTGAATTGGGACCGGAACTCCTCTCCCTGGTGGGGATACAGTTTGAACTCTGGGACCCAGAGGTCAGACCTGCAGACCAGATCCCGTGCACCGAGGTCTAGCATTGCCCGGGGCACAGAAAGGATATTTGTGAACAGCCTGTGGAGGTGTGTGTGCCTCCAGGGGCAGATCAGTGTCCTAGAGGGCAACCCTCCCACCAAAGGGAGGCCGTGCGCCCAGCCCAGGCAGCGTTTCTGCGCAGGGAACCTCCCCGAAGGCATCACAATCCGGGGAGGCTTGGTGGCGTGTGGTCTGGCCTGCTGGCAGAGGCCAGGGGTAGCTGCGGAGTTGGGGAGGGTGGAAAGAAGTGAGGCCTGCTCCCGACTGCGGGGCTCAGACAGCCCCACCCCCACAAGCAGACTTTCTGGCTGAGCGGGACCATTCCAGCCCCACCCTGACAGCTTTTCCTGGAAGCAGAGTACAGAACTTTGACCCCTGCTAACTGCCTGAGGGCAGGCTTACCCAACCCAGCTCCGCCCAGAACAAGAGCTGATAACAGGACACAAAATCAACAGCATAGCCTGTTCCTCCAAGCAAACGCCACCTACTGACAGCGACGGCATCTTGCACAGCCTTTCCACGGCACCCACTGACTCAATATACAGGGAGTGGTCCAATCTCACCCACAGACACCACCTAACCCCTCAGAAACTAAACAAGGCGTGTGAATATCCAAACAAAAACCTAAAGGAAAGAAACAACAACTGATCGACATGGGAAGAAATGAGCGAAGGAACTCAGGAAATATGAAGAACCAAACGGAAAACACACCCCCAAAGAGGAGCACCAGCCCCCTAGAAACGGACACCAACCCAAATCAGGCAACCAAAATGACAGAAGAGGAATCTCTTATGTGGATCATAAGAACACTCACCGAGCTGCAACAACAACTCAATAACCAACACAAAGAAACCACAAAAAGCCTCCAGGATCTGGAAAAAGAAATGGACACAATGAAGAAAAGTTTAACCCAACTCCTAGAAATGAAGAATCAATTCAGGGAACTACAAAATACAGTGGAAAGTCTCAAGAACAGGGTAGATCAAACAGAAGAAAGAATCTCAGAGCTTGAAGTTAACACCCTCCAACTAAATAAAACCATCACAGAGATAGAGCAGAGAAACAAGAGAAAAGAGCAAAGCCTACAAGAGATGTGGGATTATGTGAAGAAACCTAATGTGAGGGTCATAGGGTTACCAGAAGGGGAAGAAGACAACACCCAAGGGTTGGACAAGCTATTTGAAGATATAATAGAGGAAAATTTCCCAGGCCTTGCTCAAAATCTCGATATACAAGTTCAAGAAGCTCAGAGGACCCCTGGGAGATTCAATGCAAACAGGAAGACGTCACGACATGCAGTGATCAGACTGACCAAAATATCAACTAAAGAGGCCCTTCTAAGAGCTGTAAGACGAAAGAAGCAAGTGACATACAAGGGAAAGCCAATTCGAATAACACCAGACTTCTCTAATGAGACTTTACAAGCAAGGAGAGACTGGGGCCCCATTCTCACTCTTCTGAAACAAAACAATGCCCAGCCTAGAATCTTCTTCCCTGCAAAACTAAGCTTCATATATGAAGGAGAAATAAAGACATTCTCAGACAAGCAAAGTCTCAGAGAATTCACCAAGACAAGACCAGCCCTACAAGAAGTACTTAAAACAGTGCTACGCACGGAACACCATAATAAAAACTCACGAATATAAAAACAACCAAAACCCAAAAATTAAAGGCCAGATAATACAATGGCTCAAGAGAGAAATCAAAGCAACAACATCCAACCCAACAGAATGAACAGTAATCTACCTTACCTATCAGTTCTCTCAATAAATGTGAATGGCTTAAACTCTCCACTCAAGAGACATAGGCTGGCTGAATGGATAAGAAAATACAGGCCAAGTATATGCTGTCATCAGGAAACACATCTAATCTGCAAGGATGCATATAGACTAAAAGTAAAAGGGTGGAGATCAGTATTCCAGGCAAGTGGAAGCCAAAAGAAGCCTGGCGTGGCAGTTCTAATTTCAGACGATTTAGTTTTTAAACCAACAAAAGTAGTGAAAGACAAAGAGGGTCATTATATAATGGTGAAGGGCACAGTTCAACAAGAAGAGATAACAATTTTAAATATATATGCACCCAACTTAGGTGCACCCAGTTTCATAAAGCAAACCTTACTGGATCTAAGCAAAAGGATTAATAGCAACTCCATAATCACCGGAGATTTCAACACCCTACTGACGGCACAAGACAGATCCTCCAAACAGAAAATTAATAAATAATGGACTTAAACAAAACCCTGGAACAACTGGGTCTGACTGACATCTACAGGACATTCTACCCAAAATCCACTGAATATACGTTTTTCTCATCAGCTCACGGGACATTCTTTAAGATTGACCATATCCTAGAGATTTACACAAAGTACATCTCAAGAAATTGAAAAAAATAGAAATCATACCATGTACCTTCTCAGATCACAGTGGAATAAAAGTAGAAATCAACCCTAACAGAAACTCACATTTCTACACAAAAATGTGGAAATTAAACAACCTCCTACTAAATGATTACTTCATAAATGAAGAAATCAAGATGGAAATAAAAAAACTCTATACTCCTACACTGCTGGTGGGACTTCAAATTAGTTCAACCTCTGTGGAAAGCAATATGGGGATACCTTAAAGCGATACAAGTGAATCTACCATTTGATCCAGCAATCCCATTGCTGGGCATCTACCCAAAAGATCCAATGACACTCTACAAAAAAGACACCTGCACTCGAACGTTTATAGCAGCACAATTCATAATTGCAAGGCTATGGAAACAGCCCAAGTGCCCATCAATCCAAGAATGGATTAATAAAATGTGGTATATGTATACCATGGAGTACTATTCAGCTCTAAGAAACAATGATGATATAGCATATTTTTCTGGTTAGAGCTTGAACCCATACTATTAAGTGAAGTTTCCCAAGAATGGAAAAACAAGCACCACATGTACTCAGCAGCAAATTGGTATTAACTGAACAGCACCTAAGTGGTCACATAGGTACTGCAGCAATAGGGTATTGGGCAGGAGGGAGGGGGGCGGGTATATACATATATAATGAGTGAGATGTGCACCATCTGTGAGATGGTCATGCTGGAGACTCAGACTTGTGGGGGAGGGGGGGAAATGGGCATTTATTGAAACCTTAAAATCTGTACCCCCATAATATGCCAAAATAAAAATTAAAAAAAACAAACAAAAAAACCCAAAATAATGCCTAGGTTATAGTCAGATACAACACTCAAGCTAATGTGATATATATGTAAGTCAGAGAACACTCTGGAAAATCTACATGGGAGGTCTAATTATAGTTAGAGGCAGTTTATTAAGTTTGGAATCATTTAAATCCTTGCTACTCAAACCAGAAGCATTGTTTATCACCTGGAAGCTTAGAAATGAATAATCTCAGGCAACTGGGGTTCTGTACTAGTGTATACCTATCAAAACCTCAATTTTTTTACTCATTGTTTAGTAGATGTTGGCTTAGTACCTAGTCTCATTTCATGTTTTTCTTTTATGAAACCTCAGAGAAGCAAGAAAATAATTTTAGGGTTTTATGGAAGGGTAATAAAACTTGTTATAAGACTTATAATAAAATACTTGATAAACACAGAGACAAAAATATAGGCACATATACCCAAAGATAGAGATACACAGAGTCAGAGAGACAGACATATAGACTTCCTGTACACACAGACTGCCCCCATATGCATACATACAACAGACCCCCCCCCCCGCAAGAATCCTTTACTTAGTCCCTTCCCACACAGAGACCCCCTCCACACACATACAGAGAGAACCCCAGGCTTGTCCACAGAGTCCCCTACATGCGTCCACAGAGACACTCCACAGAGACCACACACTGGGAGGCCCACTCACACTCAAAAACATAGACTCCCACAGAGGGAGCTATATACACACAGACACATAAACTGACAACCAACAGGTAATGCTTAAAACTGAGCTTTTCATAGGACTTAAGTAGCGTTTTTCATAGTTATTTTGAGGAGAAGGGATGAGTATTCTCTCTAAGGTACTTTTAACTAAGCCAGAAAATGAAGCAAAACAGATGGACTGCCATTGAGTCTGCAGAACAGTTAATGTTACAAAGCCAGTTTTATTTGAATTCTTGTTTCTGGAACTGCTTGTTCCTGGGCATCATTTTCATTTGATGCACTCATCATACTTGGGTGGGAAATCATTCTTCTCTTATTTCTGTCAGGAGCTCACATCCTAGATTGCTGGTTAAGCAGAGTTCCATGCTCAGTTCCCCTTGGTACTAATTAACACACTCCTTTGGTGCTCTGAGTCACATAAATCTGTACAGGATTGGAAGATCCAGAAACATTGCACCTGTGAGGAGAAACTCATACTAGTCCTGTGTGGGTGTGTGGGAATGAGGATGTAGAGATAATGTGTTTCCTTGTTTTGTTTTGTTGTTTTAGAGACAGGAGTCTTGCTATGTTGCCCAGGCTGGACTCAAATTCCTGGACTCAGGCTATCCTCCTGCCTCAGCCCTTCAAGTAGCTGGGACTATAGGCACGCACCACTGCTCCTGGCTAAGATTATGTTAAGAGATATAATTTTGGATTTTTTACCTTTTGGGTCATTCATGGTGTAGGTTTGCATAGCAAGCTATGATGGAACTTAAGAATGATTAGGGGAATTAGTTGTAAGTTAAAAGATTTTAAAGCTACACTGATGTGGGCAGGGGATGGCAAGTTGGATCGTGTTAGTGGATAGAGATATCACTGGTAGCTACATAGCCAGATGTTTTAGTGTCTTGAGCAGCGTCTTGTGAGAAGTATCTTATTAGGAAAAAGGAGATCTGACACATAAAGCATGTTTGTGTGGGTGAATACCTGATGGTTTCTATCATACCAAGGGAGCTAGATAGATACCAGAGACATTAGTAGAATAGTTTTACAGATGAAGGTTCCAAAGAGAGAAATATTTTTCTCTTGCTGTCTGGTACATGAATATGTATTCATTTGACCAAAAGCCTGTTTAAAAAATTTCATTTCAAACATATGAAAGAGTTCTGAGAAAATTGTACTCCCTGTCCAATTTAACATATGTTATCTTTTTTTTTAAAGGTCTTTCTCTGTCTAGAGTGCAGTGGCACAATCTTAGCTCATGCAACCTCCTGGGCTCAAACAGTCCTCCTGCCTCAGGCTCCTGAGTAGCTATGACAACAGAGCTAGGGCCCTCTTTTATAAGGGTACCAATCCCATTGGTGAGGGTTCTACCCTCATGACCTAATCACCTCCTTCCCAGAGTCTTCGCCTCCAAATACCAGGACATTGGGGATTAGGTTTCAACCTAGAAATTTCATTTATTGCAAAGATGGGGTCTCGCTCTTGCTTAGACTGGTCTCGAATTCCTGACCTGTATTGATCCTCTTGCCTTGGCCTCCCAGAGTGTTAGGATTACAGGTGTGAGCCACCTTGCCTAGCCTATAATGGGTGAATTTTATACTAGGTAAATTTTATCTCAATAAAGCTGTTTAAAATAAGAATACACTAGGAGGAATTTACTCAACCAAAATATCAGAGTTGTTATAAAGTTCTAGCAGTTAAAAAAGTATGGAATTGTTAAAGAGATTGACAAAAAGACCAGTGAAACAAAAGGGAGCATCCAGAAACAGTAGGAATATGAGGCATCAGAAAATAGAATTACCTATTACCATAGACTCAATGTTTGTGTCTCCCACAAAAATTTCTATTTTGATCTGAGGTTGATTGAATCCATGGATGTGGAACTCTCAGAGACAGAGGACTGACTATTGGAATTGGGTAGTATAAATCCTGGGCAGTATTTTGTTCTTTTTTCAAAATTATTTTGGGTATCCCAGGTCCTTTAAATTTCCAAATAAATTTTAAGATATGCTTATCAATTTCTACAAAAAAGCTCTTTAGGATTTTGATAGATATTACATTGAATCTATAGTCAATTTGGCTGAATTTCCATCTTAATGGGATTGAGACTTCCAATACATGAACATAGAACCTCTCTGTTTTCTAATTGCTTTTTAGCATTGTTTTTTTTTTTTTTTATTTTTTAATTATTTTTTTTATTTTGGTATATTATGGGGGTACAGATTTTAAAGTTTCAATAAATGCCCATTTCCCCCTCTAGCATTGTTTTGTATTAATAATAATACTTTACAGTGTGTATGGGCCTAGCATTTCTTTTTTTTTTCTTTTTTTTTTTTTTTTGAGACAGAGTCTCACTTTGTTGCCCAGGCTAGAGTGAGTGCCGTGGCGTCAGCCTAAGCTCACAGCAACCTCAAACTCCTGGGCTCGAGCGATCCTTCTGCCTCAGCCTCCCGAGTAGCTGGGACTACAGGCATGCACCACCATGCCCGGCTAATTTTTTACATATATATCAGTTGGCCAATTAATTTCTTTCTATTTATAGTAGAGACGGGGTCTCGCTCTTGCTCAGGCTTGTTCGAACTCCTGACCTTGAGCAATCCGCCCGCCTCGGCCTCCCAGAGAGCTAGGATTACAGGCGTGAGCCATCGCGCCCGGCCCTAGCATTTCTTTTATTAAATTTACTTCTAAGTATTTGTTTTTTTCTCATACTATATGAATGGAATTGTTTTCTTAGTTTTACTTTCAGATTGTTATTGCAAGTACATAGAAATACAATTGATTTTTTTATTGTTGTAGAGTTATATGACATTTATGATTTGGACCATTTTAAAGTGTACAATTCATTGGCATTAAATACATCCACAATGTTATATAACCATCACCACTATTTATACACAAAATTTGTTCATTGTCCCAAGAAAAAACTATATCTATTAAACAATAACTTCTTTTCCTCTCTACCTCCAGGCCTTGACAACCTGTGCTTCTATTTTCTGTTTTATGAATTTGCCTATTCTGGGTATTTCATGTAAGTGGAACCATACAATATTTGTTTCTTTTGTGTCTGGCTTATTTTAAATTTTCAATCTATTCATATTGTAGCATGATGTAGCAGAATTTCTTTTTATATTTTTTCTTTTTTTAAAATTTTCTTGTTTTAATCTGTTTGCTTTTTAAAACTTTCCTTACAGAATTTCATTCCTTATTAAGGCTGAATAATATTAATATTATATGTTTTTATCCAATCATTTATTATATTTATAATGATTGGTAAAGTCTATTGATTGACACTTGGGTTCTTTCTATCTTTTGGCTATTGTGAATAATGCTGTTTTGAACATTGGTGTGCAAATTATCTGTTCCAGTTCCTGCTTTCAGTTTTTTTTTTTTTTGGTATATACCTAGGAGTGAATTGGTTGATTACAATTGATATTATGTTGATCTTGTATTCTGCAACTTTGTTAACTTTTACTCTAGTAGTTTTTTGGAGGATTCTTTAGGGTTTTCCTCATATAGGATCATGTCCTCTACAAATGATAGTTTTACTTCTTGTCCAATGTGTATGCCTTTAATTTCTTTTTTTCATATTGCACTGTCTGGAACCTCCAGTACAATGTTGAATAGAAGTAGCAAGAGTAGACATCCTTGCCCTGTTGCCGATTTTAGAGGAAAAGTATTCAGTCTTTTATCATTAAGTATAATGTTAGCCAATAGTAAGACAATTTCTCCTAATATATTTTTATAATGTCTTAATTTTGGCTGATTAAGGGACTGGATAAGTTGGCATTTGTTAGTGAATATCTCCTCTTGACATTTATACTTTTCTTAGCTGTAAGATTAATAATTTCTTTCTTTCTTGTAGAACGGGGCTTATGATACCCTGTGTATTTCCACTTTGATCATTTAATTTTTGAACCAGTAATCTGAATTGGCAGATCATAGTCTATCTTGTCCATATGTAAGTCTAGGATATCTAGATTATACCCCAACCAGTGATGCCTTTATATTCCTTAATGCTGTTTTAAAGTCTAAATTTTTAGAGACAGGGTCTCGCTGTGTTGCCCAGGCTGGAGTGCAGTGGCACAATCATAGTTCACTGCAATCTCAAAGCCTCAGCCTCCTCAGTAGCTAGGACTACAGGTGCCTGTCATTATGCCCAGCTATTTTTTAAATTTTTTATAGAGATGAGCTTTTACTATGTTGCTCAGGCTGGTCATGAACTGATATTTCTTTTAAGTAAAATATATAATATGTAGTTGTGTGTTTTAATATACCGCTATGTAGTTATTTTATAGTCTAAACCTGTTGTTTTGTCTCGTCCCATAAGATCCACAAGCAGCACCCTTCTTTTGGGTGGAATCAGTGAGGTTTACTTTGATTGGGAAGTCTGTGTGTGGTATTTCTATTAGGTGCCTTATTTCTTTTTTTTTTTTTTTTTTTGAGACAGAGTCTCACTTTGTTGCCCAGGCTAGAGTGAGTGCTGTGGCATCAGCCTAGCTCACAGCAACCTCAAACTCCTGGGCTCAAGCGATCCTTATGCTCAGCCTCCGAGTAGCTGGGATATAGGCATGCGCCACCATGCCTGGCTAATTTTTTCTATATATATATTAGTTGGCCAATTAATTTCTTTCTATTTATAGTAGAGACGGGGTCTCGCTCTTGCTCAGACTGGTCTCGAACTCCTGAGCTCGAGCAATCCGCCCGCCTTGGTCTCCCAGAGTGCTAGGATTACAGGTGTGAGTCACCGCACCCAGCCAGATGCCTTATTCTTTAAACCAGGCGTCCTCAAACTATGGCCCAGCCCCTGGGCCACATGCAGCCCACCGAGGACATTTATCAGGACATTTATCTGGGCCCACCGGGTGTTTTTGCCGCTGCTGCCTGTCTGCTTAGCAGCCTGGCCCACAGTGCACACTCTCCAACGGTCTGAAGGACAGTGAACTGGCCCCCTGTTTAAAAAGTTTGAGGACCCCTGCTTTAAACTGTAAACTCCAGAAGAACTGAGACCATGTCTTTCTTGTTCACTGTATTTTTAGCATGTAGCAGATAGTAAGGGTTTTAATGAAAGAATGATTAAATCAGTCTGTTTTGTGATACTTGTGTAAAGAACAGTGATTAGTGCAATTTGGCATTGCTTTAGGGTGAATTTTTATTCTCTAAATTCTCAAAGCATTTGAGAGTATGGATTGTTGTCTATATAGCTTAAACAGGAATTTTCTTCCAGTTTCTTCATAGTAATTAAGATAAATATTAATAGGTTTATTATTTTCTTACATATATGCATTTAAAAAATTTGAAACACATCTCCCCTCCTTTATGTTATTTCTCAGAGATTCTAAGCCCAGACAGTTATGACTAATTCGGGTAATTTTGTAGGAATCTACTTTCATAATTAACTGTAAACCTCTGGGATAACTAGTTGTCAGAAAAGGACAGTGATGAGTATCATGTAGGAAGTCGATATCTTTTTAGTAA